CACAGTCCTTTCAGCAGTTCCAAGAAGGCTCCGCACCCATTTGCACCATTTGAGTGATCCCGAGGACACAGATAAAACCTCCCAAGTGGCCTCAATGACTCGCTAAAAGGATGCAAATGACCAGCTGTTTGCAAGGGATATAAACCCTTCCATTCCCCACCATCCAGTCAGAGCTGAAGAAGCTTCAAAGAAAAACCAGAAAGTCTTAGTGGCCTCTTGGAAAAAGCACCTTTGGGAAAAAGGATGGAAACTAATCAAGGAGGGAAGCAACCTAAAACTAAGGAGAAATTTCCTAACATTGAGAACGGTCAACCAGTGGATTGCCTTCCTTTCCAAGGTTGATGATGCCCCTTCAGTTGAGGTTTTCAAGAAGAAACTGGACAGCCACTACAGACTCTCCTGCTTGTGCAGGGAGTTGGACTAGATGACCATCAAGGCCCCTTCCAACTCTTGTTATTCTTTGTTTTATTCCATGTTCTAACTCCCAGAATTCCCCAGACAGCTACAAGTCTTAAAGTGTCCAAGGTTGGAGCACCCCTGTTGTAAAAGATAGAAAGAGGCTTTAGGTGTGAATGTCTGGAATTTATATTTGCAAAAACGGGCAATTTCAGATGTGGTCCATGAACTGATGGGATCCAAATTTGGCGTCTCCAAATTTGACACCCTTTTAAAGACTTGAAGATTTCAACTCCTAGAACGCCCCCTGACCAGCCTGGAGCTGAAGTCCACAAGTCTTAAAAGTTCCCCAGTTTAGAGACCTCTGTGGTGGGGACTTAACAGCTCGCTCGTTTTCCTTCTCAACCCAGTGGTGGGATTTTAGCTGGTTTGCACCGGTTTGTGAGAATTGGTTGTTAATTTTCTGAGCAGTTTGGTGAACTGGTTGTTGGAAGAAACCATTAGGGCAGAGAACCAGTTGTTAAATTATATGAATCCCGCTACTGACTCAACTCCAGTTTCTCTGTGGACTTCATCTCCCAGAATTCTCCTTCCTGGCCGGGGGGGGGGGGGGGGGGAAACGGACGGACTCTGGGAGCCCACAAGCTTAAAAATTAATGCGGTTGAGCAACACTTGTTCCAATCAAAAGGTGAGTCATCTCATTTCCCTTCCCGTGTGTGTGGTTTTTTTTTTTGTGTGTGTGTGTCTTGTTTTCTTTTTCTAGTCAACTTGCGTGATTAAAAGTTCTTGGAAATTCAAAAGCTTGCAACGGTTTCGTAGGCTTCCGCTTGCGTTCTTTTCTCTGGATTAGGTTGTTTTATTTTTCTCGTAGCCACAGGGTGACTCAGACTTGTTTACAAAATAAAAGGGTCTCTTTATTCCTTCTGCAGCAGTTAGTTAAATAGCTGGCCTTCTCCCCTCCCTCTCACCCTGCTCGCTTTTTTTTTTCTTCAAAGGAGCAGCTCGTTGGGCTGATTTGGAAGCCCTGGACTTACAACCGATTCATTTAGTGGCAGTTCAAAAGTTACAACCAGGGGTGTGATTCAACCAGTGTAACGACCGGTTTGGTGCGCACAGAGGGTTTGCCGCTGACCTTCTCCTGCAATCCTGCACTCTCCCTGTGTGTTAAACAGCTGACTGTGGCGATCCACTGTGCTGCGTGAAGCAGCTGAGCTTGGAAACCAGGAAATCAACATCAGAATAGAGCCAGGGTGGGCAGGCGGGGCCCAGCAGCCGATCGTCGGAGCAAACTGGTTCACTCACAGATAATCCTCGGAACTACCGGTTCAACCGAACTGGGCCGAACCGATAGAATATTACCCCTGGTTACAACAGCACTGAAAAGCATATTTATGACTTGTTGCACACTTATGGCCATAGTAGCCACGTGATCGAAATTTGGATGCTTGGCAAATGTATTTGCTTCCTCGCGTAGCTTTTTTAATCAACATATGCGCATCCTGCTCTAGCCATCCATCCAGCCAGCTGGGTGACTGGGTTTCATGGTTAAAGCACTAGAAACCAGGAGACGGTGACTTCTAGTCCCTCCTTAGCCACTAAAGCTGGCTGGGTGGCATTGGGCTAATCACCAGGAGACGGCGAGTTCTAGTACCACCTTAGTCACCCATGAATGCTGGCTGGGTGACTTTGGGCCAGTCCGTCTCTCCCAACTCAATCCACTTCACAGGGTTGTTGTTGTGGAGAAAATAGCAGGTGATTGGTCCAAAGTCCTGCCTTTGGGCCAATCACCAGGAGATGATGAGTTCTAGTCCAGCCTTAGACATGAAAGCTGGCTGGGTGAGTTTGGGTCAATCCGTCTCTCTTAGCTCAATCCACCTCATAGGGTTGTTGTTGTGGAGAAAATAGCAGGAGGAAGGAGTATTGGAGACATTAATCCCTTCAGTTATTTATCACAACCATTTATTAAATTTATATGTCTCTCATCTCCCCAATAGGGCAAACAATAAAGGAAGGATAAAATACAGAAAGAAAGAGGGAGGGAGGGAGGGAGAGAGAGAGAGAAAGAAAGAAAGAAAAAGAAAGAAAAAAGAAAGAAAGAAAGAAAGGAGAGAGAGAGAGAGAGAGAGAGAGAGAGAGAGAGAGAGAGAGAGAGAGAGAGAGAGAGAGAGATCCCACTAAGTCCAGACACGATCTCTTTCATTTTGGCTTAATAGCTGGTGTGTAATGCAGCCACTGTGATTTTGTGACTTAGCATGTGGATGAGACAATCTGTCCTGATTTATTTAACAGATCCCGGTTAAGTAACGGGGTCATCGGTAATGCTAAAACTGCCAATGTGCTGTTTGGCTCTCGCGTCGTGATGTTATTTATAAAAATGATACATTTATAAAAAATAATAATGTTCCGCAGATGGTTCCCTCCCTCACCCTGAATATCCATTAAGGATGTGAGGTTCTTTAGTTGATGAGGGGCGACAATTTGGTTTTGCTAAAAGGCAATTTGGTGAGGAGGTAACGGACAGGACGAAACTGAGCTTTGATCGTTGGCACGTGGTCAGGTTGGACCAGGTTTAAGGACTTGGCAGTTGGCAACGGGGACTTTCAGGTGGGACAGCTGCCAAGCAGGAGGAGATGCCCTGGTCTTCTGGACCCGGTTTCTCGACCTTGGCAACTTTAAGGTGTATGGATTTCAACTCCCATGGCTGGCTGGGGAATTCTGGGAGCTGAAGTCCATGCGCCTTAAAGCATGTTGACAGTGGTATTTTGGGAGTAGATGTCTACACATCTTAGTTTCCAAGATTGTTTAAATATCTTAAATGCTTACAATCTCCCTCTTTCTTTCTTTCTTTCTTTCTTTCTTTCTTTCTTTCTTTCTTTCTTTCTTTCTTTCTTTCTTTCTTTCTTTCTTTCTTCCTTCCTTCCTTCCTTCCTTCCTTCCTTCCTTCCTTCCTTCCTTCTTTCCTTCCTTCCTTCTTTTTCTCTTTCTCTCCCTTCTTCCCCACCTCTCTCTCTCTCTGTCTCTTTCTCTCTCTCCCCACCTCTTTTCTTTTCTTTTCTTTCTTTCTTTCTTTCTTTCTTTCTTTCTTTCTTTCTTTCTTTCTTTCTTTCTTTCTTTCTTTCTTTCTTTCTTTCTTTCTTTCTTTCTTTCTTTCTTTTTCTTTCTTTCTCCCCCCCCTTCTCCCATTAAAAATCCAAATAGTTACCCTTTGAAACGGCTCAAAATTTTTAAACCTTTATCAGCAGCGCACACACACACACAGACACAGAGAGAGAGAGAGAGACAATAGATGGAGCTTTCACTGGACCATCAGGGCCGCCATATGGACTTTGTTGCCCATACCTCACCAACGCCCCCAATTGGGACGCATCTTGTTGCCTGAACAGAGAGCAACCGCTGCTTCTCCTGCCCCCAGACCACCACCCCTTCTTTGCACCCTGATTCCAAATCTCCCTCCCGCTCCTTCTAGGTGCCTGTGGTCTAGGGTGAGTGCATTTCTGGAGAAGAGCCTCATGCGCTGGCAGTGGGGCCTCCAAGAAGGTGGAGGAGAGGCCGTCGGTTGAGCCGTGTCTAGGAGGGAAGGATGTGGGGTGAATTTCTCACCATTCAGGAAACCGCTTAGAAAGCGAAAGTGGAACTGCACAGGCTTGTCCGCCTTCCAGGATCCGCCACTGCCTGCGCCAGATGCCTCTCCAAACGAGACACCAATATAACGAGCAGTGTGATTCGGAAGCCAGGCTGGCCAATATTTCAGCCAGGGCTGCGTTGTGAATCTTGTGTGCAGGTCTAGATGGAAAGTCCCAACCTGAGCCATGTGACATTTCCCGGTCTGGTCTACCGGGATGCCAGAATGGGCGAGCCGCAAAGCGGATTCGTGCAGTATTGCACGGCTGGAACGATGAAGCAGGTGGAAAGGCTTGCCACCAGAAGCGGCGGCTGCTCCATCGCGGGAGGTTTTCAAGAGGAGTTTGGGCAGAGATTGGGGATGAGGGCAGAAAGACGGTCATCTCTCTCTGGACATCAGTGGGTGGGAGAGGGGAAGGGACTCTGCGATCCCATGACTTTGCAAATAGGGTCACCCATAGGGTAAGATTGGATCACGAAATGGCGCTGGCCGTCTTGCAGATGTTGACACCCACCCACACACATGGAAGTCCTAGTTTGCAGAAGTTTGGATGAGGAAGAAAACGTCATTGTTTCATCCTTCCTCCTTCTAATTCAGATAACAATGGGTGAATGGGTGTAGGGGTGAGAAAGGCCTTCGGTTGCGTAGCTAGCAAATGACTTGAGCCTTTGGCTGCAGTTGTCTCTGTCTCTCCCTCTCTCCCTCTCTCTCTACTCCAGAGAAGACTGGCTCTTTGGGATCCTAATAGAGGACCTTCACTTCACTTGAGATATCTAGTCTTGTTCAAGAGGGGACCTCCAAGTGGAATCTGGGGCAAGGAAGAGCACTTCTCCAAGTGGTGGCCTTTCCCTCCCAATGGATCAGAGAATGGCCCAAGTAGGGGGTTGATCATTGATTGCAGATCTGGGCTGGAGGCCCAAAGTGGTTATTCCTTTTGTGCTACGTCTTTTGAGGCTCAATGGCCTTCTTGTCTTCACGCAGCACCCAGTCTTAAAGGCAAACGGAAAAAGAAGAGCGTTCCCATGGCTGAGAGTGAATCCCAGGAAGCTCCAGGTCTCTGCCCAGAGGAAAAACATCAGGACAACCTGGAGAAGCTGGAACAAGTGGTGAGTATGGAGATCAGGGGTGTGATCAGTTTTAACGGTAATAAACCAAATGGAAAGTCAAAGAAACGTGATCTCCTTGACTGAGTTCACCTGTGAGATGAAGACCTAAGGTGTGGTTTATTTCCAGATGTAGTGTGTTGTGGGAACTTAGCTATTGTGGCTGAGTTAGCTTACTGTGGTCTAAAGAAACCATGATTTAGCATGGCACGAACCTTTGCAGTGTGGTTATCCAAAGTAGTGTGTCTCAACTTCAGCAACGTTCAGAGGTGTAGACTTCAACTCTCAGAAATCCCTAGCATGCTGGCTAGAGAATTCTGGGAGTTGAAGTCCATGCATGTAGGCTAGGGAATTCTGGAAGCTGAAGTTCACGCATCTCAAACTTTTTAAGGTTGAGAAACACTGAACGAAGGGATTGTCTTCTCCTGTGTTCTTCTGCCTATCCAACCAAAGTAGAAAGCATCAACCATCTCCATTGCTGTTGGATTGTCACCTGATGGGCTCTTGGAAGTGGATGTTCCTCATAGTGGCACCCACATTTTGAAACTCCTTCCCAGTGGGAATTTGATTGATCCCATTCCTTCTGCAATCCAGCAATGCTTTAGAGGCCCATCTTGCAAAGTAGGAAGACACTCTGTGATTTGAAAGAGAGATTATTAGTTTTTATGTCTTTTTTATGCTTATAAATATTTCTAGAGATATTTTTATGCTTACAAAAAGCCTTTGGGAATAGGAGGCCCAGAAGCAAAGAGAAGAATAAATAAATCAAAATGTTATACTTCATCTTTACACTGTCTTTTTAATAAGGTTCCCAAGATGATCTAATCATTTCTAGGAAAACAGTGTTGATCTTCTGCAAAAGGATTAGGGCAGGGGTGTCCAACTTTGGCGAATTTAAGACTTGTAGACTCCAACTCCCAGAAGTCTGAAGCCAGCAAGTCCACAAGTCTTAAAGTTGCTAAGGTTGGACACCCCTGGATTAAGGCAAAAGACACTACAGGGCTTAATGTATGATTCTGATTTGTTTTGAAGTTGGCCAGCTGCATTTTTTGGTTCAGACGAGGGGCATTGCAAATCAAGTAGCCGATTACAGTTTATAGTTTCTTCATTTGCATAGAAGTGTTTGCAAAAAACAACAACCATTGTTCTTGTTTTTTTGAATTTAGGTAGAAGAATATGAGATAATTAAGTGTTGGTAATTCCTAGTAGCGTTTGCCAATTTGTGACACCTCCAACTTTTTACTTTTCTATTTAGAAATTACTGAATTGATGGTGGGTTTGTTTGTTTGTTTTGAACCACATAGAAAATTTAACTGAGAAATGTAGAAAAAAAACCTGTTGACTTTCAAATAAGAGTAATACTCAGACAGAAATTAAAAATGCAAGAGCCTTGCGTATTGCGTGTTGTGCATTGAAACTTGAAATGAGTTTTCCATTGTCAAGAAGTCATTCTTTTTCCCGAGAAACGGTTTTTTTTGTACTGAGGAAACTCTTCATTTCCTCTCTTTACCATGTTTGGCTTCTGAACGAAATCTGCAGTAAATGAATCGGCCGTCGGAAATGTATTAGCTCATTTCATTCACTTCAATTGCAGCAGGTGCAGATTTCCGACGAAATGAAATTTCAAAGGAAGAGGAACCGTTTACGGTTATAGCAATAATCCCCAATCGGCCTTGGAGGCATCTCAAGACAGGGGCTCCCCAAAATGTGATGAAAATCCTGCTCCTTTTTATCCATATCGCAAGGTTTAAAAAAGAGTCTGCCGCTTTTGATCCCCTGGTTGTGACCGTTACCTTGTGTCATTTTCACCTTGATTTTTTTTCTGACCTCCTGTGGAAGAATGGCAATTGAGACGGGCTATTTTTAATAACCACAATCCAACAGGTCACACAGATCCAACAAAACCTCTCCCAGGCATGCAGTTGTCCCGAAAAACTAAGGAGCCCCTTGAATAGAATCAGGAGAGGAGAGGAGTGTCAAACTCGATTTCATTGAGGGCTGCATCAGGGTTGTGTTTGACCTCAGGGGGGCCCGGGGGGCAGGGCCAGCTCAACATCACTTGTGTCGGGGCCGCCTGTGGTGGTCTAAGTGCTCTGCCAGTGAAAACGGGCTCCCAAGCTCCGTTTTCAGCTGTGACGGCCTCTTGCAACCCCCAGCCAGCAAAAACGGGCTCCCAAGCTCCGTTTTCGGCTGGGACGGCCTCTTGCAACCCTCAGCCAGCAAAAATGGGCTCCCAAGCTCTGTTTTCGGCTGGGACAGCCTCTTGCAACCCTCAGCCAGCAAAAACAGGCTCCCAAGCTCCGTTTTCGGCTGGGACAGCCTCCTGTAACCCTCAGCCAGCAAAAAAGGAGATCGGGAAGGCCAAACATGGCCCTCCCAAGCTCCATTTTCACTGGCAAAGGCACCACGGGCCGATCCTTAAACTGTTTCCAGGACGGCAGATCTATGCACCCCATAGGCCGGATCCAGCCTCGAGTCTGACACCCCTGGGATAGAACAAGGCCAGAATGAAGGCAAAGCTCTTTCAGGGGGAATGGCCAAGATGAGCCCGCAATGCGAATAAACTATATACACCTCAGGAAATTTTAAGGCACCTGGGATGAATCACATTGCAACCAGACTGGAAGACGTTAGACGGTTAGCTTCCTTAGATACCGAATTATAACATCTACCCATTGCCATCTTTGGCGTGGTGACTCAGCGATTAAGATGTTGGGCTCATCAGCTGGAAAGCTGGAAGCCCAGGTTTGAGACCTCCGTGCCAGGGTTGAGTTCCCGTCCTCAGCACCGGCTCCTGCCAACCTAGTAGTTCGAAAGCATGCAAATGTAAGTAGATAATTTAAGTACCACTTCGGTGGGAGTGTAACAGCACTCCGTGACGTCATGCTGACCACATGACTGCGGACATGTCTTCGGACAGCACTGGCTCAATGGCTCCTTTCTCCCTTGGGTCAACCCTACAAGTAAAACCAAGGTTGATATCTTAATTCAAGGACTTGCAACTTTCACACTTGGTGAACGCTTTGATGAGCCCCGATCCTTGACTCGTGATAATTATCACTTTGATCTGAGCTGATTTGGTTTCTACTTTACCTGTCGTCTTGCAACTCAGGATGATGTGGTGTGCTCACCATCTTCTGAACAAGCAATTGGGCTGTTTTATTGTCTGCCAGATTCACTTAACAACCCTGTTACTAACTGAACAACTGTAGAGATTCAGGACGGAGGCAAATGAGATTGTTAAAATGTGACAAACTCACTTAACAACTGTCTTTGCTTAGCCATGGAAATTCTGGGTTCGGTTGTGACTGTAAGCTGAGGATTACCTCTAGATACACATGGCTGATTGTTTTTGTCATGCCCCTGTTGGAATCTGATTTGGAGGGGGAGGCTGAACAGCTGACAGGGAGTGGGAGTGTGGCTCCTTTGGCTGTGGAAGAAACTGGGGAAGGGCAAAGTCTGGCTGGGCAGAGCAGGGGAGCGGTAGAGCAAGGCAGAGGGAATTCAGAGAAAGACCCAGGCCCACCCCCTCTTCATCCTAGGGCACGCAGGGAGGAATGGAGAAGAGAGCAAGTGAGTTGTGTGGCTTATGGGGGAAGAAAGGGCCCTGATTCCCTTCATTAGCTGCAGCTGGGAACACAGTGTTTTAAAAGGGAAGCTGCACACAGCAAGGTGTTGGGAGCAAATCATGAATTTATCTGGTATTGTCGAGGCTTATCTGAGTTCCTGGCGTCTTCCCAACTGTGTGTGTTTTACTGGGCTTTCAAGTCTGCAATTCCTTCTTCTGCCCTGTGAAGTTAATTATTGCAGCGTAGTTTGTGTTGATTTTTAGTTACCGTTTGTATGTACTTCGTTTTTGGACTGAATTTCCTCCACTTAAAGACTGTTCCTGGGAGAGTTTTTCTCCAACCAAAGGTAACTTGGACCTTGGAGGCAAAGTTGGAGATAATGAAGGGACTCTTATTGCTTATTTGACTATGTTGCCTTTGTGCCACGCCCTGGGTCGTCACAGTTTTACTGTCAAATGTATATTCATTCAGAATAGAACAGAATTCTTTATTGGCCAAGTGTGATTGGACACACAAGGAATGTGTCTTCCGGTGCAGAAGCTCTCTGGGTACATACAAGTGATAAATCATGATCATAATCGTAAAATGCAATCATCACAAAATACATCATAAAACAAAACAGCCCGTGATATTACACGTTGCACAAAGTAGTTGATGACTATTTTTTACAAAAATAAACCCAATAAATAGTTAGCTAGTCTTGTACAACACATTGTGCCATAAACTGTGGTTTACAAGCCACAATGACAAGAGTTCCTGTAATATGTCCCAGCTGCATTTGCACTCATTGAACTAAAGTGTCCTCATGTCTTTGGAATCAGCCAAAGTGGCACCTTCATAGCAACAAACCCTGAAGGAAGGTTAGCTTGACAGATGAGGCGAAAACATACGATGAACGGATGCAGGAACTGGGCCTGGCTAGTCTAGGGAAGAGAAGGACCAGAGGAGACAGGAGAGCATCTTCCAATATTTGAGGGACTGCCCCAGAGAGGAGGAAGGGATCAAGCTATTTTCCAAAGCACTTGAAGGCCAGACAAGGAATAATGGATGGAAACTGATCAAGGAGAGATTCAACCTGGAAATAAGAAGGAATGTTCTGGCAGTGAGAGCAATCAATCCATGGAACAGAAGTTGCCTTCGGAAGTTGTGGGAGCTTCATCACTGGAGGCTTTCAAGAAGAGACTGGACTGCCCTCTATCAGAAATGGTGTAGGATCTCCTGCTTGGGCAGGGGGTTGGACTAGATGACCTACAAGTCCCCTTCCACCTCTGTTATTCTGTGATTCAACATGGTTGTCATGTTGTCCTTCCATCTTCCCTTTTCCAGGCTGAACATGTGCCATGTTGCTTGCTCCTGTTTATACAAAAGGAGAGTTTGAGGCAAAGTTCCTGGGATGTGAGTAATGTGTCCTTTTGAGTCAACCCATCAGTCACT